AGCCGGCTGATTCAGGAGCCATAGAGAACAGTGGATGGAAAGAACCCTTTAATAGGAAGCACAAATCAGGGCCTAATTAAGCCATGCCCCTAGGGTAATGGCTTGCCATTACAATATTGGTCCAGCAGAGTGTTAACATTAATATAGACCAATAGCTGACATATATTTTTTATTCTTTACATTTCCAAGTGGGAATGTTCATTGTGGTCTGTTTTCCCAAAGAATCAATAATACCAATGAGTTCTTATGCATTCCAAATATTGCTAAATATTTATTTGTAACTTTGTTTTTGTGGGAAACAGTATTCTATATGGTCATACTGTAGACATCCTGGAAATAATCTAATATTGAAGGTTGATAGGGATAGACCTTGAAAGAAAAAGCTGAGAAGGGAAGGGATCAGAGCCCTTGAACCATGTAGTTTGCCTAGCCCCACGTCGGGGTCTGCACGTCCACAAAGATTAATAAATTTTAGGCTCTATCTATCATGAGTTTGTATTCTGGTAAGGGAGATAAAACATAATCGTTTCAGTATATGTAATATATTCAGTAATACCTGTTTTTTTTTTTTTAAAAAAATTATACTTCAAGTAGAATACATGTTTTTATAAGATATTTGGAGTGCCATAGAGAGAATACTTATGGGTAAGAGGGTCAGAGAAAACATTAAGAGAAGAAAGTGACATCTCAGTATGACTTTAGGGGATGAATAGTAATTTTTTGATGAATCAGTGGAACTAGAGAAAGGCGTTTTTTACAGGTTTGAAGGTGTGAAACAACATGATCATTTTCAGGAATGACAAAGTAGTATGGTATTTAAAGGAGCAGAAAGTATGTGTTATACGAGAAGAGGAAAAGAAGCTAGGAAGTGATGAAGTATGTTTAACACCTTGTAGGAATTAGTGGTGTGGCATCTGTAGGAAGGTAGAAGAAGGACAGACATAAAACCTTAGGCTTACTAGTTCTGTGAGATTTGAGGGAACCACATTCACTAAGTGTTTCCTGATGAAAGTTTCATGTTACATTAGTTACTTTTTCTCATTGTTCACTGTTATCTTTACAGGAGCCTTCAGTTTTTGAAAGCCTTCCCAATCCTTTCAAGATCACCACATAATCTCTCTTCTTTGATCGGTTTCCTTAAAGGATATAATTTCACACATGTATTTTATAGCAAATAGAGTTCTAAGAATGAGTCCGGTGTAAAACAGTTTAGATATTTCCAAGAAAGTGGGTTTGCAGTTAAATTGATGAATAAGATTTATATTTCAATCTAGACAATCTGATTCCTAATCCTTTAACTTGAGAAAGGATATTTTAATATTCTCTATTTTCTAAGCAGTACTGTATACTTCTTGGTTAAATTCTTTTAAAAGTTTCATTGCATGTTTATATAACATCTACTGGAATAAATTGTTTTAAGGAAAGCCGTCTAAACTTCCCTGTAATAATTTATATGGCCTTACCTTTTTCTTAATTCAGGATAAATGTGTATCTGGCCCTTTGTTCCCTTAATAATAGCATTATGTTTATTTTATGGAAAATGCCACAAAATTATGCTATTAGAATACAATGTTTTAGTTATTTTAGTAGTTTCTCATTACATTTATTAGGAATTAAAGTATTTAGTTGTTTATTTATATGCAGCTTAGTTGAGAAGTTATTATGTAAGAAAAACATCACTTTCCTTGCTCTTACAGCTTCTTGAGTTATTGTAAGAAAAAAATTGAGAAGGATGGCCAGTACTGTCCTGAAACAGAACTTTCTGTTTAATGTATTTTAAATGTAAAAAAAAAAAAAATTGTTCTCAGTTAAATTAGAGATAAAGGGAAATGAAAGAGATTGAGGGATGCTGTTTTGTAAATATCCTGTTTAAATAAGTGCTAGTTTGTGCCTTAAGTCAGAAAACACATCATTTGCCCCTTTACCATTCTTCATATGGTCTAAACTCTGCTTAAATTTTTAGAGAAGAAAGCAGTTATTAGCAACATCCTTTGGTGGTTCTTGTGACAGCTTTGTCAACATATTACAGATTCCTGTATTTCCTCTTCTCCTCGCTTCAAACTTTCTAATAAGACAACAGATTCTTCTCACACTCAGAAAAAAATTGAAATATTTTTCTTGGGAGAACACTGGCTATATCAAATGGTTTGTCTCTTAGATTTATTTTGTTAACCTGCAGTAGGGCCTTCCACATTTTAAATTGTACCTTTTGTGTGTTTCAAATTTTTTATTTAAAGTTTTACTTAAAATTAACTTTGGTGAATTTATGTGAATAATAGAGATGTTGCTGAAGTAGTTTTTTTTTTCACACAGTATTTTCTCTGTGAAGACCCTGCGTTGTCAAGAGTTGTCTTCTCAGAAACAGTTGATTGGCTTTCATTTTATGCTAGAGTTTTCACTTGTTTCAGTTGTTGTAACTCATTTTTCTAAAAATATTTCATATCTTTCTTATCTATGTTGTTTTGTGTATGAGAATATCATTTTACTGATTTTAAGAACAGAAACTCTCTGCTGTGTCCCCAGAGGATTAAATATTCAACCCTTTCCTCTCCATTCTTGGCAGTGGCGGATCAGAATGGGCCACTCTCCTCACACTCCAAGAGTTTTGTGCAGGGTAGTAGTTTATGGGGGAAGAAGCAGGTTATGAAGTTGACTATGAAGGTCTCTCTGGTTGAATTCTAATTTTTTTTTTTAAAACAGAGTCTCTGTCACCCAGGCTGGAGTGCAGTGGTGCGATCTTGGCTCACTGCAACCTCTGCCTCCTGGGTTCAAGCAATTCTTTTGCCTCAGCCTTCCAAGTAGCTGGGACCAAACGCATGTGCCATGATGCCCGGCTAATTTTTGTACTTTTAGTAGAGACAGGGTTTTGCTATGTTGGCCAGGCTGGTGTTGAACTCCTGGCCTCAAGTGATCCACCTGCCTCAGCCTCCCAAAGTGCTAGGATTACAGGCGTAAACCACCACGCCCTGCCTCCCTGGTTGAATTTTAAAAATAAAGTTCTTTATTAAACTAACTATAGCAGGCTTTCTACTTATAGAAAGGTAGTATTCTAAAGGTTTGGAAATAGAACTTTGAAATTCAGAATAGAATTTTCCCATAGATGCAGATTTATAAATATGGATTATGAAATCAGACTAATGTATACAGACTGAAATGAGACTAATCTATACAGACTGGCCCATAATATAAACTGGAATCAAACCAAAGACAATTGAAGTTAAATTGATAAGGTGGAAACTTGTGTTTCTTTTACATGCAGGTACTTATGAAGAAACCTAGTGAGAGACTTATAGGAATTTTGAATGGATACTCTGAAGAGTTTTTCAGATTGATGATACCATATCTATTATATCTAATTTAATTTTTAAAATACCAAACGAAATAAGAACTTTTGAGCATGTTTCTTCAGATTTCTTGACAACCATATTTGTTCATTCTAAGAAAACAGTAATTGGGATCGAGTGGATCCCCTTCTCCTTGGAAAAGTCAGCATGTTAGCACTATTCAAAATACAGATTTTAAAAAAAGTGCATTTAGTACTTTTACAGAAAATGTTGCTACAAAATAATAAAATACACGTATAATACCATAACTGAATATGTGCATTCTAAAGTTATATATTCTCTAAATTATGTAGTGCAAACTAAAACTCATATATAACACATTATTACCTATAGGCAATTTCCATCTTATAAATAAGACTTATGCATGATATAGATGGCCCACAGCAATCATTTAATTCATTCCATTTTTGAAATAATGAACACTAATATTAATATGTTAGTTATTTTTTATTACAAGAATATAGCACATTAAGAGTGTAATACTTTTCCAACTAGCCTATAGGAATTTATTAGCATTTTTCTAATATGTAATATATATTTGAAAAATACATATTATATATTATATTTCAAATATATATTATATATTATTTTTCAAATAATATTATATATTATATATGTAAAACCTGTGTGTCTATATAATATATAATATATGTAATATCAGTATATATATAACAATATCTGTGTATGTTTAATATCTATTATACAGTATATATTACTGTATTATTTTCAGGAGGAAGGGTGGTAGAAGGGATAGGAAGGAAAGAAATTTTACAATGAGAACTATGAAATCATTAAGATCATTCCTTTGCACTCCTTTTTTCTCTTTCTCTGTTGTGTCCATTGCCTCTGAGGAACCTAAAGTTGAGAACAGTTGGAGTGAGGAAGCTGGGGAATGGAGGAGAAAGCCGAGCAAACCAGTTGAGGAATAAGTATGTTTGTGAGTAGGAGGCAGGGAGTACAGAGACAACTTAATCCCTGTTCATTCCCCTAGTTCCTTACATTTCAGAATATACCCCATCAAAGTTGAAAGCTTGTGTCTTTATTATTAACACAGATATCTTGAAAGCAGTGGGAACTTTGGCCTAGAGAGTACTCTTTCTCAGTGGTGCAATCCTATCCCTGGTTGCTCAGGCTGACAGCAACAGGGGCAGGGCTCCTTAGGGTGCTCTGAAAGGAGTTAGGATAGAGTTAGATTGTTGTTTGGATGTTTGTAAATTTGGTATTTTAATTTATAAAATTGGGAGTGCTCAAATGTAAAGCACAAATAGAAATGCTAGTGACCAAAATATCAGAAGATTCTATCAGGAAATATTCTGATTTCAATCTGAAATGTCCATATTCTGTGTATAATATGCCTTTAATTTTATTTTAATGTCATGCTTTTAATGCCGATAATTAAAACCAATTAGAAAAAAACTGCATGTATTTAAGTTAAGAAAATATTTTACAAGTCCAACCTATCAGCCATATATGTTATTTTAGCTGCACATGTTTTAAACCAGCCAGTTCTTTACAGAGTTAAACTATACTTTCAAGTTTATATTTTCTGAATTCCAAGGGTTAAGAGGAAGCATAGATTCAAGTGCATTGTAGCATTAAAGGTGGTTTAATAATCAGTTTGTTTTCATTTCAACTTTCTCATTGTTTTTTGTCTAGGGGATAGTGGTCCTAGAAGAATGTCAGCTTCCAAAAGACATTTTGAAAAAGCAAATGCAATTTGCAGACCAAGCAGCTTCACTAAACATTCTAGGGAATCCTCAGGTTCCCCAAGAGTGTCAAGATCCTGTACCGGAACAAGATTTTGAAATGTCACCAAGCAGCCCTACTTTACTTCTTCGAAACATCGAAAAACAGGTAAAGTCAAAGTAAGGATATCAGTGGTATGAAATGACTTTTCATCGATTTTATAAACTATTCAAATAAACATCATTATATGTGTATCTTCCTGGCATATGGGTTATTAAACTAGGCCATTTGGCATTAAATACAATTAAAATATTTGCCATATGACTGGTTTCCATTATAATACCAATATAATTAAATTTATTTAAATATGATATGTAAAGTAATGGTATTGTTATGGCCATAGGATGATAATTTATTTTTACAGGGATTGGAAAATCTTTTTTCTGACAAAATTGTTTATCATTGGATTTTTTTTTTTTTTTTTGAGAAGGAGTCTCGCTGTGTCTCCCAGGCTGGAGTGCAGTGGCGTGATCTCGGCTCACTGCAAGCTCCGCCTCCCGGGTTCACGCCATTCTCCCGCCTCAGCCTCCCAAGTAGCTGGGACTATAGGCGCCCGCCACCACGCCCGGCTAGTTTTTTGTATTTTTAGTAGAGACGGGGTTTCACCATATTAGCCAGGATAGTCTCGATCTCCTGACCTCGTGATCCACCCGCCTCGGCCTCCCAAAGTGCTGGGATTACAGGCTTGAGCCACCGCGCCCGGCCGTTATCATTGGATTTTTTTCAAGGAGAGAGAACAGTGGTACCAGTTAATATGTCTTAATTGGTGTTTGACTAATTTATTGATCAAGATTTTTAGTGAAAGGTAATATTGGAATATGTATTTCTTCATAAAAAATGATTATGTAAATGTAAAGTCGAAAAAGCTCCTAACAATTACTTTGATTCCAAAGCCTTCCTTGATATCTAAATTCTATTGTGGATATCTCTACAAGCTTAATTATTCTGGCCAGTATATCCTATATCTGTCCTTGGAAATTGAACAATTTATTTTGATCTAGACTTTAGTGACTCTTAAACAAACTCGGTTTCTAGGACTTTTTTACTTTAAAGCTGAGCCATTCTTCACCATAGTTGCATCATTACATTGTTTCTCTGGGAAATGATATAGATTCATGCCTACCTGCATCTAATTTTCCTGAGTTTTTCTGACATACCAGGAAATAACTAAATACAGGTTACTGTATTGTTCCTGGTAAACCAAAATATGGTATAATTTCTTCCGCCCTGTATTTGTTAAATTTATAATTGCCCAGAGTTTTTCTTAATTGGAATGTATAATCAAGGCACTTATGAATATTTTGTAATTTAGAAAGCTGTTTGGTAATTATCTGATGTCAAATTAGAATGCACTTGACCATATAGGCAGTGATTTAAATTAGTTTTTGTTATATTTCTATATTCCCACTTTCCTCTTTCTTTTCCCTCCCCTCATTCAATAGGATCAAGTTGTTTTGATCCTAGTTCAGTTTGATCCTAGTTGTTTCACATTCTAGAGTAATTTATTTGCTCTACTTAAAAGTAGTCAAATCTACTTTCACCATCTTTAGGTCACTACTTATTCATTGGAAATTCATTGGAAATTGTAATCTGATTAAATTAATTCTAAGATTTTTCATTTCTAAAAGATTTCTTGTACTTTTTCCTTTCTCCTTGGTATCCCCAGTTTTCTTAGGTTGGACCTGAGATGACATCAGAACTGCCTAATTTGCGGATCCTAGTTCAGAATGAAATTGTGGAGCCCTTTGTTAAAAAGTTATGAATTTAAAGACAGTGACAGTAGAGCACTAAGCAAGCATAGCCCCCATCTGCGCTCAGCCTGGTGCACAGGTTGCATGCCCATGAAGCTGGCCCTGGGTAGCATTTTAGGTCTCATTGCTGATGAACTGTCAGGGGTCTTTGATAGTATAAGGAACCAAGAGTTGTGAGAGCAGTAATGGCTCCATGTAAGGAGAGCAGAAGAAAAAGATTCAGAAAGGGCAGCAGCAATTACTTGTAGAGGTTGTTAATAAATTGCCTATGAACAAGTCATTCGTTCTTGAAATGTGGTAATAATGATTTTTGTAGGCCAAGTTTTAAAAGCTTAAGTTGTTTTTAAATACTTGTGGGCCAGGCATGGTAGCTCATGCCTGTAATCCCAGCACTTTGGGAGGCCAAGGTGGGCAGATCACTTGAACCCAAGAGTTTGAGACCAGGCTGGGCAACACAGGGAGACCCCGTCTCTACCAAAAATACGAAAATTAGCTGGCCTTGGTGGCACACACCTGTAGTCCCAGCTACTCAGAAGGCTGAGGTAGAAGGATCACTTAAGCCCAGGTGGCAGAGATTGCAGTAAGCCAGATGGCACCACTGCACTCTAACCTGGACGACAGAACTAGACACTATCTGAAACAAACAAAAAAACTTGTTGCAGAAGATAGTCTAGGAGTGAGTTAAGTGGTAGGGATAGCAAGCCCATTATTATGCATGGTTTTCTTAGGATAATCTACTGATATGTAACTGTTCACTCATAATCTTTCAGCTTGACTAAAGTAGTTTTGTTAGAGTTGGAAGTTAACATATAAAGGCAATATTGAGTTGTAGACTGTCATTTAAAAAATAACTTATTGATTCATAGTATTAATACGTGCTTGCATTGTTAGATAATATATAGTTCATAAATTGAAAAGAATACCTTATTTTTAGTACTTTAGGTCAGCTGTTCGCAGCATTTTTGGCATGAGGGACTGGTTTTGTGGAAGACAGTTTTTCCACAGGGTGGGGGTGGGGGAATGGTTTTGAGATGAAACTGTTCCGCCTCAGATCATCAGGCATTAGAGTCTTATAGGGAGCAGCAACCTAGATCCCTTGCACGTGGATTTCACAGTATAATTCGAGCTCCTATGAGAATCTAATGCTGTGGGTGGTCTGACAGGAGGCGGAGCTCAGGTGGTAATTCTTGCTGGCCTTCTGCCCACCTCCTGCTCCGCAGCCTGGTTTCTAACAGGCCATGGACAGGTACCCATCAGTAGCCCGGGGGTTGGGGACTTCTGCTTTAGGTGATTTAAAATGAATTTGCTACTGGTGTATTTACATTATAAATCTTGTTAAGAGTAGCTAGTGTTTTAACTTACAGTTGATTAGTTTTTGTTTTCAGAGTTCAAATTATGCTTCTCTTAATTTTACTTTTCTCATTCACATTTTCTCTGTGACTTTTCTTTTTTTTTTTTTTTTTGAGACGGAGTCTCGCTCTGTCGCCCAGCCTGGAGTGCAGTGGCCGGATCTCAGCTCACTGCAAGCTCCGCCTCCCGGGTTTACGCCATTCTCCTGCCTCAGCCTCCCGAGTAGCTGGGACTACAGGCGCCCGCCACCTCGCCCGGCTAGTTTTTTGTAATTTTTTTAGTAGAGACGGGGTTTCACCATGATAGCCAGGATGGTCTCGATCTCCTGACCTCGTGATCCGCCCGTCTCGGCCTCCCAAAGTGCTGGGATTACAGGCTTGAGCCACCGCGCCCGGCCTCTCTGTGACTTTTCTATTCCCTGTATTCCCCATATGACTCAGGTATGCGAGATTTTATTGGGCCAGAGTAGGCTGATTCTTAGGGTAAAGATAGGGATTGTGATTTCCCCCTTCCTGGCCCATTATTCACATATATCCAACTAGCGACTTCCAGTGGCTTAAAAGATTTTAGATGATGTTTTTTGGAGGTGGAACAATCGCAGGAGTGTTTTAGTGTTTCCAGTCAGAAGATATGAGATACTTCAGAATTTATTTGCATGACTAAACTAATGATTACTTGCTAAATGGATGAAGAATCCATTTCTATTGGTGATTTTAAAAATGAGCTTTAATCTAAAAACTGAGTAATAATTTTTAAAATGACATCATTAGGTGCATATTATCTTGAAAATAAATGATGAAAACATTTCAAGGTCTTTCTCATGAAAGACTTTTTGAAGGGATGAAATATTAGTCTTTATTATATTATTTAGTCTCATTTCTAATAGCATGTTATTAGTTTCATACAAATGATGCATTCTAAACTAATTATTCCATATACCCCTTTATTTCACAATAGAGTATCTTGCAGTATTGAAAATGTTGAACTACGTCTGTATGTTTTAAAAAGTTAGTCACACTATATTAAGTAGGAAAACTAGGTTTTAAAAAATTGATGTAGCCTGATTTAATTAAAAGTATATGTGTACATGTTGAATGTACACTCATGTTTACATATACTCAGGAAACTTAGTCTGGAGGGAGAAATATATACCTAAATGTTAGCTCTGGTTTTCTCTTTGAAGTATAATTACAGATGACTCTCTTTTCATTTTCAAAATGTCTGTATATTTTCCAGTTCTTCTATGATGAATTACGGGTGTAATGAAAATAGTTGTCATTCTTTTGTAGAAATGTACTATTCCTTTTTATGTGGCCTTTGCTTATTATAATTGTGATTGTTTGAGAATAATATTTATGCATATTATAATAATTTAATATTTATTGCATATATTTAAGTTTGGGACAAATGTCAGTGAAATCTTAGGAGCTAAAAAAAAACCCCTGATATTTTTGAATTAGGAAAAATATTGAGAAACAGTGTGCTGTTAGATTTAGGCCTGAATTTGAATCCTAGTTCTGTTTCATACCAACTTTATAGCCCTTGATCAAGCTACTTAATCTTTTTTTCTTTGCTAGAATTTACTCATCTGTACTGGTATTAATAATAGTGATGTCAATACCTCTATTACTATCTTCTTTGCTGGTTAGTTGTAAAGATTAGAAATATTCTATGTGTGGTGCCTGATATAATGCCTGGCACATAGTAGGCACTTAATAAATTGTATCTGTGATTTTTAATTATTAATTTTCCTGCCTCAAGGGAAATATTATATAAAGGCTGTTAGCTGGGTTCAAATGTGTTAGATGATGGGATGGGTAGATGAAGGAACTATAATAAAAAAAGGATATGGAAAAGAATGTGTAATTAAAGTATAGATTTATTTGTAATAAATGGAAAAATCAGTTGTATAAATTGTCTATCTAATAAAATGTTTACTGAAATAAAAACGCGTGTCATGAGACGTTAAGCATTAATTGGCACTATACATGTGAGCTTTAACTCACATTTCTTGCTTAGCAGTAGTAAAAGGTTGACTGTTTCCTTGCAGAGTGCACAGTTGACTGAGATCATCAACAGTTTGATTGCCCCTCTCAACTTGTCCCCAACTTCATCACCCCTCTCTTCCAAATCCTGTAGCCATAAATGTCTGGCTAATGGCATTTGCAGGAGGTAGGTATCAATGGGATAGCTTAGCTTTTAAATTTGACTTTGCCTATTTCATCTTATTTTGATTTTGTTTTGACATTTTAAGTATTATAGTTACTTTTTTTAATACATTAGGGACTACTAGAGTACAATCAGTATACTGTGGATACATTTTTTGATAATATTAAATTTACACCATTAAGGTAATGATAGATCTAGGAATGAGGGAGAAAGATTTCTGGGAAGTTTCATAATGTTTCTTAAAAAAAGAATAGCAGTGATAACATTTGCTATAGAAGTACTGCCTTATTTACGATACCTTCCATTTTGTAGCTTTTGTATTCTTGAGCTCCATGCTGTCCTTGCAATGCATTTTGAAGAGAAAAGACCCTAGATATAATTTAGGCACAGAAGATTGGTAGCTGTCACCCATTAGATTCAGCTTAAGTTTTAATCATTTTGTATTTTAGCTTTATATAAGGTAAATTTTTATCTGACTATAATTAATAACTCCGATAATTATTAGCAATTTATCTGTGTTATATTAGCAAAAATTTATATTCTATGAATCCTAATCCTTTTTTGGGAACAGCATTTGTTCTACTTTATTTTGTTTCCTTTTCTCTTAGAACTTTTCCTTTTGAAGATAAAATTAGAAGACATACTAATAGAATATCATTTTATGTGTGCGTTGTCTAATTTTTTTCAGGTAAAATTGGAATGTTGGCTTCTTTGCTTTAATTACCATAGACAACTAAGTATAATTTTATATTGGGAAATATTTGTATTAAAATTATATAATTTATTATTTTAATAACTTTCTAATATAGCATAAAATGAAAATTTATACCATGGTGAAAATTATGCTAAGTAGCCATCAAATTCTTTGTGAGATTAGTGGATATAAACAAAGTCTTAAAATAAAAAGCTGAGGTGGGCAGATTACGTGAGCTCAGGAGTTCGAGATCAGCCTGGCCAACGTGGAGAAACCCCGTCTCTATAAAAATACAAAAAATTAGCCAGGTGTGGTGGTGTGCTCCTGTAGTTCCAGCTACTCAAGAGCCTGAGGCACAAGAATCACTGGAACCTGGGAGATGGAGGCTGCAGTGAGCCAAGATCGCGCCACTGCACTCCAGCCTGGGCGACAGAGCAAGACTCTGTTTCCAAAAAATAAATAAATAAATAAATAATAATAAATAAAAAGCTGACGTTTGATTTTTATTTCCAATTGGTTATTTTGAACATCTAATCTTTAATTTACTGTTTTATTTATATTGAGTTATGTATCCATTGTTCTATCGTGGGAACAGTTCTATTGGTTTTGCTTTATTTTTTCTCGACTTTATATTCATTCCTCATATCAATGATAAAACATGTTGAAAGTAAAGATTCTGTCATATAGTATGGGATAACTATGATATTTTAATTTATGAGAACATATCCTAATTAGGAAAGTCAGAATGTATGTGAATGAATTTTAAGCTGACCCATAAAACACATCAAATTGGTGTGTAAGCATTGTGATGTGGGGCTAATCCCATTTTAGATAATACTTTGTTTACCTAATCAAGTAGTACACAGTTGCACACATAGTTACATGTGTGTGTTCATGTGTTTGTGAATTTTCATTTTAATATACTTGCCTATATTTCTGGTCATTCATTTGCAGAACATTGATTGCATAACTATTTATTGTATGCCACATAGTCAAAGTCCTAGGGACACAAATATGAAGACAGAAATCTTCACATGTAAATAACTCAGTCTGGTTGGTGAAACATGTAACTACTTAATAAAATACTATGTAATAAAAATGGAATTGTGTGTAGTTGTTTGAATACTGGCTTTTAATAACTGTTACACTTGAAAAAGATACCTCATAAAGATATGTAGATCCAAATGAAAGAAATGGAAAATTGGCCATGCTTACTAAATTACGTTTTTTTAATTCTGTCTACTAGTAGTTCAAAGGTTTTTGTTGAAATCAGCTACTGAATACTGTCTTTCCTCATGTCAATTAGTTGTTGCTGCAGACTAATTGAAAAGATTTGCTTTCGAAAGTTTTAACAAGTTCAGAACCTATGAAAATGTTTTGATAGATTTAAAAGCAGATAAAAATTTTGTTTTTCATATTTCTGAAGTGTGCTGATATGTTTTAATTAATGACATTTTTGGCAACAATGAACTCTTTTTAAAATAGTTGCTACATAATGTGTATTTCAAAAAGCATTTATTTTCTCATTTTTTGTCAAAATATCATATTTTCCTTGCAGGAAAGGTATTTATTTTCTAACATTTTCTCGATAATGTAATACTTTATCTACTTTTTATCAAAGAGAGAGTGATCAAATTTAGAACAATTGATAGTTATCTAAAATGCATAGTTTATCTTTAAGTTTAATAGTTTTTTATAAATGCTTTGTTACCAGATAACCAGCAAACTACCATGTAAAACAAAAGATTTTTGGGGATACTCCTGACTCTTGATTTCATTAAAATGTTTTGTAAAGATGCCATAAATTGTGATAATGTGTATAAAAAAGTCTATAAATCTATTTAACCAGAAACATAGAAACTAGACTATATTGCAGATAAGAAGAAGAATAACACTGAAGGAAAAGTAGCAAATTTTGAGGAAACATGGTCTATTGTTTCATATGCCACAGAGAATACTGAAAATATCTGTTGGTTTTTTCGGTAATGAGTTGAGACTTTGGCAACAGAGACTTTGACAAGAGCAGGATGGAGAAAGAGGTAAGAATGAATTAATAAGAGAATTGGAGAAGAAGTGGAGAGAGGGGGTCAAGATTACCCTTCAAGGCCACTGATTTTAAAGGCCATGATAAAAGGGACATACAAAGTCACAGAAAATATTTTTGTTTTTAAGATGGAGGAAATTTAAGCATCTTTATTAAAATAAAGGGAAAGGAAGGAGCCACAGGTAAGAAATGTAGAAACACCTTATCACAAAGTTATGGAGGGATCTTATTACAGAAAATATGCCTGTTCTTTAAAAGTAGTGTGAAATAGATTAAGATAGGTGTGGATGCATTTGTTTCTAAGGTGATAATAGACTAGTTAAGAGTGGTAAAGGGAGCCTGAGGAGCTTTGACAAGCAAAACATTTTTCCTTTTCCCTTCTTCCTTCTCATTTTCCCTCCCCTCCTCTCCTGTCCCCTTCTTTATTTTTGGAGCCTGAGTAACCACCCCTAGGAAAGGGTGTTAGTGGTTTATAAGAAGTTTTTTTTTTTAATCCCTTAACTATAAATATGTTTATAATGAAAAGTACTTAATTGATGCTTATACAACTAGTTAAGAATTCAACTTTTAAAATATTCTCTAATTGAACTTTTTATAAAATAAATACATAGTAGTGAAATTCTACAAATCTAAGTTTTTAAATATTACTCATGTTTGAGAATATTACTATAGATTTTTAAAATTAATTGGAGATACAATTTTATATTATAGCATTATATGAAATAGCTTTGATTCAAAGATATCTGGATTGAAGTAATGTGAAATGTATCTCTATGAGCCTTTTGACACTGGGAGTAGAATATCAAATGAGGCCTAATTTTATTTCTTATGTCTTGCTATTTTCCAATACCTTTGTTATTTTTCCTTCACATAGTTCTATATGAAGAAAACATCTTTCAGATTCAAATGTTTATATGAGTAAGGGCTTAGTCTATTTAATGGTATTTCAGACTTGACAGTTAAACCACAAAGCACTTTCTGAAGACGTCCTTGTTAAGCATATAAATACTTCGCAGAAGCATATAAATACTATTAATGTGTTTATGTATTTATAATAAATGGGTAGGTAAGAAAACTCGTAAATATTTTTCAAAATTATAAAACATACATAACAAAAATGTACCATTTTGACTCTTTTTAAATGTAAGTTTAATGGCATTAAATACAATCAAAATGTTGTATAATCATCACCACCATCCATCTTCAGAACTTTTCTTATCTTCTCAAACTGAAACTCTGTACCCACTAAACAATAACTTCCCATTCTTCCTTGCTGTCAGCTTCTGGCAACTCCCACTTTACCTTCTATATGAATTTGACTACTCTAGGTACCTTATAAGTGGATCACACAGTGTTTGTCCTTTTGTGACAAACTTATTTTACTTACCATAGTATCAGAATTTATCTACGTTGTAGCCTGTGTGTCAAAATTCCCTTTTTAAGGCTGAATAATACTCTATTTTTATATAGACAACATTTGATCTGTGGATAGATATTTGATTGCCTCTGTCTCTTGGCTATTATGAACAAGGCTGCTATTAACATGGATGAACAAATATCTGTTTGAGTCCCTGCTTTTAATTGTTTTGGGTATTCTAGAAGTGAAATTGCTGGATTATGTGATAATTCTGTTTTTAAATGTTGTTTATTTCAAAAATGAGAAATTAGCAAATGTTAATTGCCAAGCCAAAAGCTAAGAGAAAGCCAGAGCTCAAAAAGTAAGCAAATCACAGCAGTCTGCTTTTTTTGAGGCTAAATTTAGACAAAATTAAATTGAAGTTTTGATATATTTTGGGGGAAGGGAGGAGAGAAACTAAAACTAAATCCAGCAAAATCAAGCTGAAGTTTTAATAGATTAAAGGTAAATCAGGCTGGTTGAGATGGCTGATGCCTGTAATCCCAGCACTTTGGAAAGCCAAGATGGGCAAATGGCTTGAGGCCAGGAGTTCAAGACTATCCTGGCCAACATGGCAAAACCCCGCCTCTACTAAAAATACAAAAATTAGCCAGGTGTGGTGATGTATGCCTGTAGTCCCAGCTACTTGGGAGGCTGAGGCACGAGAATCTCTTGAATCCAGGAGTCAGAGGTTGCAGTGAGCCAAGATCGTGCCACTGCCCTTCAGCCTGGGTGACAGAGTGTCTCAAAAAAATAAATAAATAAATAAATAACCTAGGTCAAAGCCCTTGGCTCTGCCCATGGCAGGAAGATGAAATAAAATCCTTGTATTTAGTAGGGACCATTCTCTTTCAGGGGCTATGCCATTA